GCTTTGAGCAATGCTGCTGTGTAACAAATGGTCGCTGACTTGGGCAGGCTGATATCTGGGGACACAGCACAGCGGGGACATTTAGTTTTTGTAAGAGTTTCACGGCACTTGTAACAAAATTAGGTCATATAAGTGCTGAGGATTAGAGGCGTTACACGAGAGCAACAAACATAAAAAGAAAGAGGAGAAATAAAAACAATAGATGTTTGATAGGAAAGAAGATGCAAGCCACACCACAGCACCCGCCAACCACCCATTTTAGTAAGAGTTTTACGGTACTTGCAACACAATTAGGTCATATAAGTGCCGAAGACTAGAGGTGTTACAAGAGAGTAACAAACACAAAAAAGAAGGAGGCGATATCAGGACGATAGATGTTCGATAGGAAAGAAGGAGCAAACCACACCCGAGCACCCGCCAACCACCCACACTAAGGGTTTTACAGCACTAGAAAACAGAAACGGTAATTTCCCCATGCAAAAACCCACTTCCATACTCAGACCCTTACAAAAAAACAACATATCAAATACATTTTTTACATACTGTTTGTAACAACCACAACAGCAAAAATAACAGCACCAGCACTCACCATCAACACAACAACATCCACAACAACAACCACCAATCAACAACAACAACACCGCCGCCACTCACCATCACTCACAACAACGCCACCACCACCATCATCACTCACCATCAAACCTCAAACCTGGCCAGCACCGCCACCACACCCACAACAACAACCACAACAACAACAACAACCACAACCCCCACTCACCATCAAACCTGGCCAGCACCGCCTGAACATCGGCGTAAGCCTGTAGCTCCAGCAGCGCTTCTATCAAGTTTTCGTGAATGTTAAAGTTCATGATGGGCGACTCTTTCAGCAGCTGGCACAGGGAAACAAACAGACAAACAGGGAAAACATGTGAGGACAGTTTTAGTAAGGTTTTATAATTTTTTACTTTAGAAAGAGTTTTTTCTTTTCTTTTCGTAAGAGTTCTACGGCACTTGCAACACAATAGGGTCAGATAAGTGCTGAAGATTAGACGTGTTACAAGAGAGTAACAAACACAAAAAAGGAGGGGAGATAGAGAAAATTGATTTTCTATAGGAAAGAAGGAGCAAACCGCACCAGAGCACCAGCCAACCACCCACTAATGTTTTACGGCGCTCGCAACTGCATAAGGTCATATGAGCGCCAAGGGGTGGATGTCAAACAGAGAGGTCCAAACAGGGTATCAGGCTTACTCTGCTCACCTCTCTTTTAGTTAGAGTTTTACGGCACTTGCAACACACAATACGGTCTTATAAGAGCTGAAGATTAGAGGTGTTACAAGAGAGTAACAAACACAAAAAAGAAGGGGGAGAGATAAGGACGACAGATGTTTGATAGGAAAGAAGGAGCAAACCACACAAGAGCACCCTCCAACCACCCACGGAAAACATGTGAGGACAGTTTGTATCTGCATATGAGCATAACAAATATTACCGACATATTTTATTTTTCTCAGCCTTTCTGAACAAGGCCAATCAAAGCCAATCAAAGCCACTCCCTTTTTGGGTTTCACCACTTCTCCTTAATAAAAAAAAATTAAAAAGGCAAAATCAACCTGACCAACCAAAACAAAGCAAATATCTTTAGAGCTTTTTAAATAAAAAGTACATGCTCATTTAATTTGTATTCCTAAACTCAATATCAGCCCCCCCCCCCCCCCCCCTCTCTCCCAGTCAGTCATTCTCTCTCTCACTCACTCACACACACACACACACACACACACACACACACACACACACACACACACACACACACACACAGAGGAAAAAACTTGCTTCTTCAAGTCCTCCCCTCTCACAATTTAACATAAAACTTAACAACTCCTAAATCTCAGCAATCAAAAAAAAAAACGGAGAACATTTTTCATGATCTATAAGCCACTCACATCTCTCATCATCTTGACGGCCTCCCTTGTGCGGCCCAACTTGCGAGCACACATGGCCAGCCGTCGCTTGATGTAGACCAACACGTTCATATCTCGCCCTGGACAGACACAGACACATGGGTTGATTGGTTGTTTGTTAGTTTGTTCATGTCTCACCCTAGACACAGACACAGACACATACACAACAACAGACACATGGGTTGATTGGTTCGTTGTTTGTTTGTTAGTTTGTTCATGTCTCACCCTAGACACAGACACAGACACATACACAACAACAGACACATGGGTTGATTGGTTGGTTGTTTGTTTGTTAGTTTGTTCATGTCTCACCCTAGACACAGACACAACAACAGACACAGGGATAGATTGGTTGTTAGTTTGTTTGTTTGTCTGTTTGTTTGTTTGTTCACGTCTCGCCCTGGACAGACACACGGATGGACTGGTTGTTTGTTTGTTTGTTCGTTCATGTCTCGCCCTAGACACAGACACAACTAATGTTGTCTTGTCCTGGATACAGACACACACATGGATTGGTTGTTTGTTTGTTTCTTTGAGCAAAGAGAAGCTAACTGACGTAAAAACAGTCATTTACGCCTAAGAAAAAGTACATAAAAAAAAAGAAGTGTGAATTACCCTGACAACAAAAGTAAAAACACCACAGCTTGAAAAGGAAGATGAATGCTATTTTGTACGTATTCCAATGTCTGACATTTGGGACTTTTAGTCACAGCAATCAAGGCTGTTGAAACAATTTTCCCCTTTGAGCCCAAAATTATTAATGATTCCTGCCCATGTTTGGTAAAATTTCCATTACATTTTCAACCAACTCCCATTTTTGCAACGGGAATCCAAATTGATTAACGTCAAAACCGGAAAACAGGAGTAAGTACAAGATGGCAGTAAGCTGACGTTTAGTTTAGTAAGAGTTTTACGACACTTGCAACACAACAAGGTCATATAAGTGCCAAAGATTAGAGGTGTTACAAGAGAGCAACAAATAAACAAAAAAAGGAGGAGAGATCAGGACGATAGACGTTAGTTAGGCAAGAAGGAGCAAACCACACCAGAGCACCACCAACCACCCGCTAAACTGACGCGGGGCATAACGTACTGTGTAAGGCTTCCTGAGTGGAGTTCTGATGCTGCGTGGTCTGTGACTTCCTGTAGCTTGTCTCTGCTGCCTTGTACGCCTGCTTGAACATCTTCTCACACTGGGGGGGGGGAAGAAAACACACTCACTTGCATGAATACACCGATACAACTTGACACCATAGTCCAAATACTTGTCCCACCTCTCTTAATAATAATTCCTGGGTTGTTTTCCTAAACAATTTGCAATTGATCACCACTAGATCTATTAACAATAGTTCAAGAATCTTTTAAAAAAAAAAAAAATTTCAGCATCTAGCAGTCATAATTCCTTTTAACTTATTTTCATCTTATTTGATAGAAAACTTTATCTGACATTTTTAGTTTCAGTAGTTTTTACGGTGCTCGCAACTGCATAAGGTCACCTGAGCGCCATATATCTGACATAGCAAAAACAAACACGTACACAGTTTATCTAGAAGGAAATAGGTGTACTTTCAACAAACTGTCCCTCCCAATGTTAGGAAGAATCATATTTACATACTCCATCCCAAGTTTAAATCGAGTTTAAAACGTCTTTCGAGCCAGACGTCTCAGCAACTCAAAAGTGGCCCTACTGGAAGTGGAGAAACCCTCGAGGTACTAGTAGGTCAACTAAGTTCTCAATTGCAGGCTCAAGTTTACTTTTACCCAGTACAACTGTGGCCTAAAGTCACATCTAAAAGTGCTTAGTTTTTAGCTTTAGTAAGTGTTTTACGGCACTTGCAACACAATAAGATCATATAAGTGCCGAAGATTAGAGGTGTTACAAGAGAGTAACACACACAAAAAAGAAGGAGGAGAGATAAGGACCATAGATGTTTGATAGAAAAGAAGGAGTAGACCACACCAGAGCACCCACCAACCACCCACGAAATCTAAAAGTGCAAAACATGACCTACTTCCAGTATCGTGGTGGTCTCTTCCTCTGCCAGCAGGACCATCGCCGTCGCACACCTTGATCAAATTGGTGAGAGAGGAAACAAGAGTTACAGGACAGTCGCTACGAGTACAACAAATGTCTTAGTATTTGTTTTAGTAAGGTTTTATGGGGCTTGCAAATTAGTTTAGTAAAGAGTTTTACGGCACTTGCAACACAATAAGGTCATATAAGTGCCGAAGATTAGAGGTGTTACAAGAAAGTAACAACAAACGTAAAAAAGAAGGAGTACAGATAAGGACGATAGATGTTTAAGAGGAAAGAAGGAGCAAACCACACCAGAGCACCCGCCAACCACCCACTTGCAATTTAACTGCATAAGGTACAACAAAAAACAAAAACCCATTCACTCAGATTTCCAAACATATTGCAAAATATATCATTACATTGAAGAAAGTGGGAGCACAAAAAAGCAAGTCAAGAGAAATAAAAATTACCAATACTAGTTCATGGCCTTTTCAACGAAAACATTGATGCCTTATACTAGACATGCTATGACACACACAAATATCAATAAACAGGACATCACTTACTTTTTTGCTAATTTTTAAACAAACAGCTTACAAATCAGGAACACACCAATAAACACACACCCACTATTGAACAAACCACAACATCAGCCACACAAACACACAAGAGAACTCGTATATATAGACTCAAAATACACATACAGATGTACAAACACACACACACTCAAAATCAATGTACACAATGTTTTCATACTCTGGGCTCTAAGGCACTGAGAGCAGCCTTAATTTTGAACTGAGCAAACACACACACACAGACTCAAACACAAACACACTCAAAATAAATGTTCGAAGCAAGTCTTTCACACTCTGGGCTTTCTCTAGGGCACTGTGGTCAGCTTTGATCCTGGACTGAACGTGCACGCACGCACACATACGTACACGCACGCACACACACACATAAAGGTTTTCTTACTCTGGGTTTTTCTCGAGGGCGGTGTGAGCGGCTTTAATCCTGGACTGTGGGTTCCTCTCTCTCCACGCCGTCTGCATTACTGAGGGGGGGGGACACACAGACAGAACAAGCTTCTCAATACACCAATAGACGAAATAGAAATAAATTTCACAATACACCAATAAGCGAACAAGAAATAATTGTCTTCTAAATACATGAATAGATGGGGGGGGTTTCAGTTGAAGACAAACACAATTTGTCAGTTCGACGTGAGGGTAACGGAATAATGTAAAAAGTAGTTTTCCACCTCCCATTCATAAAATAAGTTTTAATTAAAAGTGTCCCTCACACATATTATGATGTCACAGGGACCATAGATGAGAGGCCGGTACTTGTAGGTTACGTACAAATGTATTGATATGATGCAAATTGTAATGTGTCAAGAAAACAGAAAAAACCAAAAAAAACCAAAAACACAACAAGAAAAAGAGGAATTGTTTTGTCGGTGATGATGATGATGATGATGATGATGATGATGATGATGCCTGGCTCGCTCCGAGTCATTTCCCTCTAGCCTGTAACCACACGTAATCTTAAGACCCTCTGTGTTAGGCCCATTTCCCTGCTAGTATACAGCCCAATTTAGTTTTTCTCTCAGTTGCTCCCCAGGAAGCCCTAGACGTGAAATGTTGAGCTGTGTCTATTAAACAAATTTTAAACATTTTATATAGTTATGTTATTTTGTCGGAAATTCAAACAAGACTCTCCCTCCTACTCTGCTTTCCAAACAAAGATGATGATAATGATGATGATGATGATGAGATGATAATGACAACGACGATGAGACGATGAAATGTAGCAGTACAGTACTCACTTTCATACTCTGGCTTTCCCGTGTCGGCGTCGCAGGTGAAGTAGGTCTGGTGGTCCTGTGCCGAGAGGTTCATGTCGTAGTAGGTGAGCGGCTCTTTCCCCGTGGCCCAGTTGAAGCGCTGGTACTCCGAGCCACGGAACAGGTTGAGGGGGTTACGCCAGACTTTGCACTCTGTGTGGCACACGCGGGGGAAACGAGAGACTGATTAGGCAGCATGATAGCACTGGGGGTAACTATAGCTGTCTACCTACCACATATCACAGTAACAATACACTCAGTGAGATTGAGGATTTGATCAGTAAAAGTGAGAGACTGATTAGGCAGGAAGATTGCACTGGTTTGGCATTAACCACAGCTATTTCCTACAACATATCACGTTATAACAATGCACAAGGTGAGACTGAGAATTTGGTTTGAACAGCATATTAAGAGTAAAAGTGAGAGACTGATTAGGCAGCATGATTGTAGAGGCCTGGCATTTACCACAACTGTCAGCCTACCACAAATCATATTCACATTATAACAATGAACATGGTGAGATTAACACGATTTTGTCTGAACAACATTTGCAGCAAAAGTGCGACTAATTAGGCACCCGGACTGCACTGGTGTCACTAGAGCTGCTGTCCACAGGGTCCAATCACGTTCACAACATAGATCACATGTACAATGCATAAGGTGAGGTTTGTAATCTGTACAGCTTTTGGTTTAAGTAATTATATGTAAGTTTAGTTTTAATAAGAGTTTTACGGCACTTGCAACACAATAAGGTCATATAAGTGCCGAAGATAAGAGAGTAACAAACACAAAATAGAAAGAAGGGAGAAAAGGATGATAGATTCTTTATAGGAAGGAAGGAGTAAACCACACTAGAGCACTTGCCAACCACCTGCGTGATTATGGTTAGAGTTTTACAGCACTTGCATTAGTTGCAACACAGATAGGTCATAGGAGTGCTGAAGATTACAAGTATTGCTAGATAATAACATACAAAGAAAAGAACGAGGAGAGATAAGGACCAAAGATGTCTGATAGGAAAGAAGGGAGTGATCCGAGTGTAAACATTTCTCAAAAATTCAGACTGAAGTTGTTTTATAGCACTCCTTAGACATGAATGGTTCCAACGAAAATAGTACACAAACAAGTGACAGCCAAAGCACAGGACTCTTCTTTTGATCACACATTTCTAGTACTTGTGAGTGTTCGCCTCATTGACTATCTTATACCTCATACACTTTAAGTAGTTCCACTCAAGGAAAGCTATTCTTTATAAGGTTTCCGGCTGAAAGTGGAAGCCTGTTGTCTCTGATATTCATAAAAGAAACAACTACTGCACAATCAAGATGTATTTTTAATTCTCATTATTTGATGTTATCAAAAACACCTATCTAAAGATGTAAGGTGGTTAATGCTTAGAAAAAGTAAGGAAATTAGCTGAGTTTTTTTTTCCTTTTCTTTTTTAAAAACTCAATAAAACATATTTAGTTAGTTTAGTTTAGTAAGAGTTTTACGGCGCTCGCAACTGCATACGATTAAACATATTTGAAGTAAACTGTTAATACGAACTTGGAAAAAAATCTTGCCAACCACCCCACACCCCTCCACTTCGCCATTTCCCTTCTCCCCCCCCCCCCCCCCCCCCCATTTACAAACACAAGTATCACTAAATCAGAGACACACTCAGCCAGCCTTGAGAGCCTAGATGACCAAGCACTCACGCTACAAAGGAAGAGGTAGACTACGCTAAAGACGGATTGAGGGAGTCAAGGAAACCCTGAGAAACTACAACATCTCTGGTGAAAGAGCTGCACAGAGTTGTCCGACCATCTCCCCTCTACACTTAACGGCAACAGAGGAGGAAAAAGGTAAGGTAAAAATAGAGTAAATACCCAACCTATCAACGTTCTGGACATAGACATCTGTTTTACTGTGTCGCACAGATCCCAACAGTAACATTATCACCAACAACGTTCTGGACATAGACAACTGTTTTACTGTGTCGCACAGATCCCAACAGTAACATTATCACCAACAACTTTTTAAAGTTAGTTGTAGTAAGAGTTTTACGGCGCTCGCAACTGCATAAGGTCATACGAGCACTCTCAACAACGTTCTGGACATAGACAACTGTTTTACTGTGTCGCACACATTCCAACAGTAATATTATCTGAATTATCACCAACAAAGATTGTTATTCCGCAAATTAGGTGAGCTCGTAAAACAAATTCAAAATTATATATCAACACAATATTGTATGAAGAAAAAAAAAAGAAAGAGTTTTATTCAAAATTAGCCTTAGAAACAAGTTTCAGGGGTTTTATTTCAAATTTATAACAGAAATGGAACCGGAGTCCCTCAAAACTGGAAAAACTGTTTTTCACCTCGGAAAATTACGGGCTCCGGAATGCGTCTTTGAGACTCCTTGACTTTGTCAAACAATGATCCTGGAATATTGCGGTAACTCTACAGTTTCCTGGCACACAGTTTGTTCTTTTCCCGATTGTACTTGTTTGTTTGTTTTAGTTTTAGTAGAAGTTTTACGGCGCTCGCAACTGCATAAGGTCATATGAGCGCCAGAAGATTAGAGGTGTTACAAGAGAGTAACAAACATAAAAAAGAAGAAGGGGAGATAAGGACGATAGATGTTTGATAGGAAAGAAGAAGCAAACCACACCAGAGCACCCGCCAACCACCCACGTTTGTTTGTTTGAGTATAGAGAAGCATATCGACACAATAATGGCCAGTTACCAGCTGATGATGGAGACAATCAGCCTGCCCACACTGAAAAGGACTCTCATGAAGAGGGGCGAGGAAGCATGGAGCGCCCCGTCTTCCTAAGACCCCAGTTCTACATTCAAGCTATTCAAGCAATGGCCATTTAGTGCTGGGAACAAGTAAGACAGACAGACAGACAGACAGACAGACAGACAGACAGACAGACAGACAGACAGAAACAACAGAGGAGGAAAATAAAGAAGCAGGACCTACCAGTGGCGCCATGCAACAACCCACTTTATTTCCTGGCAGACAGTTTGCTCTTTTCCCGATTGTATTTGTTCGTTCGTTAGTTTGTTAGTTTGAGTAAAGAAAAGCACATCAACACAATAATAGCCATTTAGCGCAGGGAACCAGTAAGACAGACAGACAGACAGACAGACAGAAACAACAAAAAGGGAAAGTGAAGAAGCAGGACCTACCAGTGGCGCCCTCCAACAACCCACTTTTTTTTGTTCTCTCGCCACTCTGTTTCTTGGTGAAATGGAATCATTTTTGGGCAAAACAGCACCCCCACCACCTCCCCAATGTAATTGTAAAAGTTTTCCGTCCCCAACAGCACCCCAACCACCTCCCCAACGTAATTGTAAAAGTTTTCCGTCCCCAGCAACACAATGTCCACCATTTGAGAAACGGAGATAACTATGCTTTCAGATGGTAATTTTACTGGACGAAGGTATGAAGACCAGATTCTCAGGTTATTTCTGGACAATATCTAAGTATCTGTAACAGCCGTACCACGAGACACTTTAGAATAGTTTACAACATCTGTCTATTTATTCCATTTTGTTGTTCGGTATGGGAGGGGAGGGGAGGGGAGGGGAAGGGAGGGGGAGAATTGCTGAGAAAGAGAGACACTCTTATTGCCGGCCGGCCACGTTCAAGTGGCTGGTGTGTTGAGAAAGAGGGAGACAGGGGGAAGGGTATCAAAGAGCCCTGTGAAAGAAAGGAAATAAGAAACACTCTCTAGGACCTGAAAGAAGCTCGAAAGGAAGAAAGAAAAAAAAAGAAAGAAAGAAAGAAAGAAAAAAAGAAAGAAAGAAAGAAAAAAATGAAAGAAGCTCGAAAGGAAGGAAGAAAGAGAGAAAGAAAGAGAGAAAGAAAGAAAAAAAGAAAGAAAGAAAGAAAGACATAAAAAACAGCACCAGCAAATCCCCCCCATCCCACCCTCCAAATCTCCAACCAAGCACTAAACTGGAAAAAAACAACCCCACCCCCGCTCACTAGTTACCAGCCAAAACGAAGCAGGTAAAATTGTGAGAGCGCTCAGCTCATAACACGCTAACTTGAGACCAAAAAACAGTTCATGGAGAGTACAGCAACAGGTGACCTGTTTAGTTTTTTGG